TAGTGCTTTATAAGTTGTCAATAAATATTTGTTGTATGAATTAAACAGCTCATGACTTGACATTTATCTAAGTGTTGTGTACCTCATAATGAACACGTACACAGAATTCCACCCTAGAAGAGCTGATATATACTTATATAAGTAAAAGGAGCAAGCATGCAGAGAAGGGCTTTTTAGATTTCTAACTATGCTACTGGCATAATGATAGCACCTACCATTTGTTGAGCATATACTTGGAGGCAGTTACTTTACAACAAATACTTTGAATTCTCCCATAACCTGGCAATGTAGCACTGATATCAGCATTCTCCATGTGAACCAGCTAGCAAATGGCTGAGCTGAGAGAAATACAGACCCCCACTACAAATTCCAAGCTCTTTGTACCCCTGGGGTCCCACAGCCTCCATTGTGCTGCAGCTGGATGCCGCGGGATTCTCACGTGCCCACACCCCACAGAGGTCAGTGCTTACCCCGAGTCTTCCCTCCCACCCTTTGCCACCTGACTCGATCTGGAAGGAGGTTGCGCCCTGGAATGCTCTTCTACTGATCGTGCCGCTCCTCTCCTTAACGGTTCCGAGCGGGGCCTCTGTCACCTGTTAGGCACCCTCGGGTCTCGCAGGCCCAGTTCCCAGCCTTTCTCCCATACCTACCTCAGAGCACACTCTTCCTTCTTCATCGCCGCCATCCTGCATTCCCGGCTCAGGCCCTTGTCCTGTCACGGGCTTTTCCTCCGGGCCGTAGACCGTTTTGACTTTCCTTATGCAACCTGCCCTTAGAAGTATCGCAGCGACCACAGGGCGTTTCGGGACTAAAGCAAGCGCCGGGCTCACAAACCAGCCACCTCAAGGTTAGTCGCCAAGATTCAAATTTAACGGTCCCGCCCGGGCGACGTAGCCACGCCCCTCTGCCCCTCCGCCCCTACGTACTAGCGCCTCTTGCCCAAGGCATTCTGGGACTTGTAGTTTATCCCGGGTTTACCACACCCAAACGCGGTGCATAGTGGGAGTTGTAGTTTACAGAATCTACAGTTGACCAGGTGCCACTGGCTTAGGTGGTATAAGTTCTCTGCAGGTGCTTTCTGCGTCCTGGCTCTAAGGCCAGTCTCTGAGCCAAGCGAGATGTACTTTAAGCACCAGAATTTCTTTGATGTTTTAAGTGTAGGAAGATATCTTTGAGTGCTTGCTCTTGGCCTGACTCTTTTCTGGGATGGCTGGCCCTGCTGTGATCACCCCTGCTGTCTTCCCCAAGTCACATGTGTCCAGAGTTCTTAGGCCGCTCTGACCCAGCTGTTTCCTGCCAAACTCTTGAATTCAGAAAAACTGGATTCTAGTTCTGTAAACATGGTACCAAAGTCGCAACTTTAGGAAAGCCATATAATCTCTCTGACCTTCAATTTATGTGATGATATTGCCTTTCTGTCTCTGTTGCACAGTCCACAGGCAGAAAACACAGCTATGCCACAGCTTCCAAGGTTTTGCCTCTTTTCCCCTTCAGGAGACCACCTCCACTGCACTGGACTCTTAGGCCCAGTTCCAATTTCCTGAGGAAGAAACTGTGGTGGACTCAGCTGTGGCCAAAGGAACAGAGTCTTTTGAACAAGCCCAGGTACATCCTCTGTAACTGTGGGGGGGGAGGGGGGGGAGAGGTGTTCACTACTGCTTAGCTCTTGATTCCTGGCTTTTTCTTTGTTCTTCCTGTGTAAGCTCTTATTTCCTCTGCATCATTGGGACTCTTTTGATAGCAATGGAGTGGAAATCCAACTCAAACTGGCTTACTCAGAAAAGAGAATTTACTGGTTCATATATAAAAGACTTCAGATGATGCTTAACCCAGGCCTCATGTGGTATCATCATAACTGTGCCTCCCCTTTTTGTACCTCTGCTCTTTTTCATATTGGCATATTATCATTCTCCATTGAGGAACAGCTTGAGGACTTTATCCTACCTGGTTCAAATTTAGACCTAGGAGTCACTCTGATTAGCTCCACACAGTCACTGGGGCTACTGGATTCAGGGCTCTACTTGTTCAGGCCCAAATCATGTGTTTCACCTTGGGACTGAGAGAGGGGGAAGGGTGGTTCCCTATAGGAAATTTTGATTATTCTTAACTTCCACATCCTCTACATTCAGGAAGCCTCCCTGGATTATGGGAGATGTGGTATATGGGATTCTCTCTCTGGCTCATTTTATCTCTTACCTTACACCAGTACCAACCCAGACCCTCTTTTCCTTTCCCCAGGGTGTCCTGTTCACATCTACAAGTCCTCAATTTCAATTGCTTCCTATAAACTATCTTGGAAGTGTAACATTTAATCCTTTGATATCGGTCTTTCTTGTAGTCTAGTCAGATGCCCCATAAACTGTGGTACAACCTAGAACACATGCACGCTAAACCCTTTGCTTGTTTCACTAGAGAAAAAGGGAGACACGTAAAACAAAATGTTAGACAGAGGTGCTCTGTGGTCTTACTTGGAATGTGAGTTCTTGTTAGGCTGGACTATAGCTGAGTGGCCAGCACAGGGCCCAGATGTGACACAGGCTTCAACAGCACCCATCATGTGTCAGGAAAGTCAGGATTAAGCTCTTACACATTTATGGTCCAAAGAGGATGAGACAAAGGCTCAACCTGAGTATTTCAACATGCCAAGTATGGGTGGGACACAGAAGATGGGAACAATGAACTAGACACAGTTCTTGTCCTCTAGGAATTTCAGGCTAGTGGAGACACAGGCAAATAAAGAGGCAATTTCAGTACACTGCTGCCAGAGGTAAGTAAAAGCAGGGGGCCATGGAGGCACATAAGAAGAGCTTCTACCCTAGGCCTGGGGGAGAGGAGAAGGTCTGGGAGAATTTCCTAGAGAAGACAATAAAGCTGAAGGGCAAGGAGGATTTGGCACAAACTATTGGGCACAACATCACAGAAGTTGCTCTATAGCATGTGCCCACCTCCTCCCTGTTCCCCACTTTCTCCCTTAAGTTCTCCTACCAGGCCTTTAGACCTCCATGCTGGCCCATCAAAACTTTATCTGTCCTGTGTCCTATTCTCTGTCACCCATCACATTGAAAACATAAAAACTAAATGACACTAAGATGTTAATAACAGTTAATGCTCTAATGCACTATTTTCCATATCATTTTCTAAGATGCTAATAGATGTTACAGGGGAATAAGTGTTTGGTGTTCAAATAAGTTTCTGAAAGGAGGCACTCCCTCCTAACTAATAGGGTTAGAGGCTAATGCAGGGGGGATGGTAGAGAAGGAGGTCTCAGGTGACTGGGACCTATTGGAATGATAATAGTTATCTCCCCTGGGAGGACACAGTAACAAGTGTTCTGGGGCTATGTGGCCGGAAGTGTGAAGGCATAGCATTTGCTGGAACACAATGGGATATGTTAATGAAAAGAGGCCTTAAGGCACACACTGAAATGTTAGGATAAGTGGGCATCTTTACTGAAAGTTTCCCTAAAGTCCCTAATATGCCAAAGTGCACCATGAATCTCTAAGGGAGGGGGTATATATTTTCTATTGCTGCTATAACAAACTACCATAAATTTATTAGCTTAAAAAATTTATTAGCTTAATAGTAGCTTAAAACAAAACCAATTTGTTATCTTACAGTTTGGTAGGTCAGAAGTTTGACTTGATCTCACTGGGCTACACAAGGTGTTGGCAGGTCTATGTTTCTGGAGGCCCCATGGGAGAATTCATTTCCTTTTTTTCCAGTTTTTAGAGGCATTCACGGGTTCCTTGGCATGTGGCCCCTTCTTCCATCTTCAACGCCAGCAACATACCATCTCTCTGGCTTCTGTCACCACATCTCTTTCTCTGACCACAGTCAGGAAAATCTCCCTGCTTCTAAGGGCTCATGGCATTAGATTGGGCCCATCCAGATGATCTAGGAAACCTTTCTGTCTCAGGGTCCTGATCCTTCATCAGATCTGCCAAGTCCCTTCTGTTATATAAGGTGACATATTCACAGATTCCATGGATTAGAACATGGACATCATTGTTCTGCCTACCCCTGGAGGTGCTGAAATAGGTTGGTGTCTCTAAACTTATCTGATCATAAAGAAACCTTCTCACACACCTTTCAGAACAAATTTTAGGTACTTTGTATTCTAACAGTAAGCCCCAGGAGAAGAAAATGCATAAAGGAGTAAATCTTAATGGTGGAATTTCAGGCACAGGGGCAACTGGTAGAAGTTGGGGACTAGCAGGCCCTTCATTTTCACCCATTTACTTTACATGTAAAGTCATACACCTATCTGCACCAGAGGCTGTTAGAGGGATTTAGTTGTCAGAAAATCTGTGGTCTCTCACTCGGACTTGTACAGATGCATGTGTTCTTGATTGTCAAAGGCTGATTTCCCCCAACTTCGCCTTCATAGATTATACAAAATCCAGCTTTAGCAGGCTAAACATTGCAAAGATGAAAACCTCTGGGTCTCCAGGGAACCCTTGGACAGACTACTTGTTTACTGTGCAACCACAGGAGAAAGGAGGGACTGTCCAGGGGTGGGAGGAAGGTCAAGAGAGACTGAATGGGGGTGTATGTGTTTGGGACCTGAAGAGGACACATCTGGGAAAGCAGCATCACCATGCTGGCCTTCACCCTAGCAACACATCAGCCAATCAGAGCAGCATCTTCATTTTGTGTTGACCAGTGATGAGATGTCTTGAGGTAGAAGAACCAATGAAAAAGAGGCATAATAATCCAAACCATCTTGTGTTGCCAGGAGGAAGGGAGGTGAAGGGTGAAAGATACGTTAGTCTAGGGCTGGCCAGTTCCATCTCACAGTAGCTGTTGCTGACAGGATATTAGGGTACTCTCCAAGGAGCTGGGTTTCTCTCTTGAATTTCATGGAAACTCCTCTCTGGACTATGATTCTGCTTCTCTGCAGAACCACCTTAACTGTTCCAAAGGTTCTTCTCAAACCATTGGAAACTGCCTGACCTAGAATTTCCACACTGACATATGCAGAGAATATACATGTTAACTGAGGAGATACCAGTTATTGACTTCTGTATCTGTCAGAAGAGAACCAAAAGGTCAGAATGGACAATAAGCTAAGAACAGAAGCAGTCATATGGCAGGGCTGTTAAGGTAAGAGGTGGAGCTAAATAAGCTAGGTAGCTAATAGGAAGTGCAGAATTAGGCTGTTTTTTCCTGGCATTAACCTGATCAGAGTTTCATGCTCCAGGAAGGTCTTGGAGAATCTAGAGAGTTCCCAAATCTTCACCACTGTGCTCAGTTTACACGTGAGGTGATCCAAAACTCGAAAGGTAAAGTGACTGTGGGAGCTCCCACTGAGGAAGAGCAGAGTAGGACCTGAATGCTGCCAGCTTCTTTCTTCAAGCCCAGTACTCCGGGTGCCACAGACCTCCGCTCTAAAGTAAGGGATTCAACAATTTCTAATGTTTAATAAACTTCAGTTTCTGGATGTCATATTTTGTGGAAGGAGAGAATACAGGGTCCCCCAGCATCACATTTAGCGGGAGCCTCCACTCATTCCAACGTGCTATATATTTCCCCAAAACTGATGGGTGGGGCCCCTGGCAAGCACTTTTGTTTGCCTTTGAGGAAGAGGAACGGTGAAAGCGTCAGGGTTTGCCCATGAGCTTAGGGGAACAGGAATGGGGAGGGCCACCTGATACCTACCTTGGCCAGTGACCCTCCTTGGTCTGGCCCCAAGGACTCTTGGCCTTGTGGAGAGAGGACCTATGGCAGAGGCCGCAGAAGTTGGTTCTGTGTAAGGCTGACCTCCAGCAGCACTGCCCAGGTGCCAAAGGCACAGCTTAGTTCCAGCATCTCCAAGACTGGCCATTCTGAGAGCACTGGGAGGCCATGCCTGGGC